TGATGTTCAGTAAAATAAACCCCACATTTTTGGTGTATAACATATATATCTTACATTCAGAGTATTCTTCCATTTGAGGAAATATGGTATTGTAAGATTCTCTCTCTCTCTCTCTCTCTCTCTCTCTCTCTCTCTCTCTCTCTCTCTCTCTCGCTCGCTCTTTCTGTGTGTTCTCTACTGAACTATCCTAATGGAATTTAGTATGTGAATGAATGAATGAATGGTTTGTTATGCATGTTTAAAACAAGCTCTCTGCTTGGAGCTTAAATACGTGATCGACCAGCAGAGCCTATTTTTAATATGTTGGAGGGAGGCAAAGCAGCAAAATGTACAGTAATAGGAAATGAGTCTTCTTGTGCTGTACTAATCACAAGATTCAAGATTATCCAAAATAATGAAAGACTGCCCTCCTAATGAACACATCCAAGAAGAGGGGAGAGGCTGGATGCTCTGAGGGGTGCTTTGTCTCTACAGAGGAAAAGTTGATAACAATGCAGCAGTTGCCGAATTAGTTGGGTTCACGCACAAACTCTGCATCATTCCTAGAACAACAGCGGCCTCTGCTGTCTAACCCCAAGAATAACATACAGAAAGAGAGAGAGAGACTGATTAACTCACTACCCAATTTCTAGACTAGTTTAAAAAGGCCCTCTTTGCATGGAAATACTTTTTACATACAAATGAAACGTAATTGCTGTCATAATGGCCTGCAATTCATAGACAAATCGTCTATGTATGTATAAATCCGACAGTATAAGAGAAGAATTTGGGGAAGGGGCATGGTTCAGTGGTAGAGCATGCAGAAGGCCTTGGGTTCAGTCCATGCACCTTCAGTTAAAAAGCATAGTAGTATGAAAAGGCTTTATCTGAGACTCCAGTCACACACACGAAATAATCCACTTTCAGTGCACTTTCCAACTGGATTTTACTGGATTTTTACTGTGGATTTCCAAAGAGTTATTCACACATGGAATTCACTGCCACAGGAGGTGGTGGCGGCTACAAGCATGGATGGCTTCAAAAGGGAATTAGATAGGCATATGGAGCAGAGGTCCACCAGTGGCTATTAGCCACAAGGTATAGATAGGGGCTCTGGGGCAAGTGATGCTCTGTCTTCTTGGTGCTTGGGGGGGCCAACAGTGGGAGGGCTTCTAATATCCTGGCCCCACTGGTGGACCTCCTGGTGGCACCTGGTATTTTTGGCCACTGTGTGACAGAGTGTTGGACTAGATGGGCCTTTGGCCTGATCCAACATTGGCGTCTCTTCTGTTCTTATGTGTGAACTGGCAAAATCCAGTTGGAAAAGTGGATTGAAAGTGAATCATTTAGTGTGTGTGACCACAGCCTGAGGCTCTGGAAAGCTGCTGCCAGTCTGAGTAGACAATACTGACCTTGATGGACTAATGGTCTGATTCAATATAAGACAGATAAGTTTCAGAGGGTAGCTGTGGTGGTCTGCAGTAGAAGAGCTTAGATTCCAGTTCAGTGGCATCTCTGCAAGATGCATGTAACAGGACCTCACTAGGTGTTCCCCAAGTCCTGTCTTATCACTCAGTTGAGCTGCCAGTCAGTAGCTCTCTATGACTGTACTGACACTTTGCTTCCAAGCCAGCTAAGTATGGCAGTCTTTGCTCCATTTTGTTTGTATGAACATGCTGGTTTGTCGGCATGCAAACAGATCTGAAGAAGTGTGCATGTACACAAAAACTTATACCCGGAGTTAAACTTTGTTGGTCTTAAAGGTGCCACTAGACTCAAACTTAGAGCTGCGGTGAGTGTGAAAACAGGTGATATCACAAAGGCATTGTGCTCTGCTTCTAAGCCAGAAGACAGTAGTGATAGGTTATATGTAACCTAATATGGTGATCAGTGTTCCCTCTAAGCTGAGTTAGTGTGAGCTAGCTCACGGTTTTTTAGCCTCCGGCTCACACATTTTTGTCTTAGCTCAGGAAGGAGGGCTCCAGAGCAAACTAATTTATGCAGTAGCCAAATCACTCACTCACAACTTTATTGCCAGTAGCTCACAAAGTAGTGTTTTTGCTCACAAGACTCCACAGCTTAGAGGGAACATTGAGGTGATATATGACCTAATACGGTTTCTAATAGAAAGAGGGGTGCAGAGCAGAGGGACTCCTTCAAGGAAAGCTTTAGGTTTCCCCCAAAAGTCTAATAGTTCCCCCTCCTTCTGAACGACACCTTTGTCTTCCATACTGGCAAAGCAGTTCAGGAGGAGAAAATGTATGAACAGTCAAGGCAGAGAACATTATAGTGCAAGATTATTAGGGACCAGCATAGAATTTTTGGGATCCCAGATGATCAGCCCACATCGAAGCAATTGTGGAAGAGAACTGCCAACCCCATTTTTGGAGACTGAGAAGCCGAGAGATAAGCATTCTGCTTACGAGGCCATTAATAAAAACATAAGGGAAGAAGAACCTTTCCACTGCGATATCAATAGCACCCACCAGATTACGGTTACATTTGGGAGGAGACGTTCCATTGGCAGAGGTCTGCATGATTTACGAAGGAGTACCCTTTTCTAACCTGCTTCCTCAGCACGTACCATCTCTCCCTCTCTCTTTCTAGTTCATTATGATTATTAATAATTGATACAGACCCGCAGTGGGTTGTGTAACACAGAGGCCGAAAGAGTAGCTTGCGCCACACTTCTGAGCGTGCTGCTCACGACTCAAAGCCCTGGCACCCAAAATGAGCCCTCCGTTGTGTCCACTGAAACCGCCAGATTGGGCTAAGCATCTTTCCAATCCCAGCGAAAATCGGTAGGATCCATGTCTGAATGAAATGCCTTTGGGACAAGAGGTCTTAGTCAACGCAGGGTGAAGCTGTGAGGCTGAGGCCACTGAGACTGAAGGTTGGACAACAGTAGCTACCTGAACGTTACTAAGGACACCATCTGGCTACATGCCCAACTGCATGTACACACTGATAAGCAGCTCTCTTTCATAAACCAGACCATGAAGACCTATCTTGTCCAGTGTCGCCTACTCTCCTTGGCAGTGGCTCTCTGAGGTCTTAGGCCAAGGTCCTTCCCTGCTCTGCTCCCTCCTTTTAACTGGAAATCCCAAGGACTGATCTTAGGCCTATCCGCCTGCAAAGCATCTGCTCTGCCATGGATCTGTGACCCTTCTCCTTCACACAACTGATGCTCCCTTCTGAATCTTGTCCTGCTAGCCCAACTGCGGAGTGGCAAGGCTGAGACTAATTTGCTGCCCCATCCTTGCGATCTTCAGCCTCCCTGCAGCTCCTGCGATAGGGAAAAGGCTGAAGGCAAGAGGCCTGATACCTCTGTTGCCACGCCCCTTGCTTTCACTGTTTCTGTACCCTCTACTGCCCAGTTGACTTCTCTGAGCATCCTGTTTCCGCTTGCCTTGCACACCTTTTCCTTGAGCCTGCCACTTGTACCTGAAGTTCCATGTTTTCACCCTGTGCCTGCCTCCTGCTGACTTGCTCTGGTATTCCCTGGCCTGGCCTCAGCCTCCTTACAAATTTCACTGCTCACAAACCCCCACCAAGGTTTATATTTCCAACTGGTTTCTCAGCAGTACTGTAGCCCCGGTCACACGGGCCGGATATCGTGGGGGGGAGGCGTGGCTGTTTGTCCCAGGGCAAAATAACACGCGGTTGCGCCAGCAGACGTACTGTAGAGGTCCCGTGGAAGGGGGGAGGTGCCGAGCACACCACAATCCTGCGCCGCGGCAAAGAAGCGGCACGGCAAACGGGTGTTTTGTTTTCCGGACACCAAAGTGTGCGCATGCCCCGTTGGGTGCTTGTGCACATCCCATGGACAGTTGAAAAAAAAACACCTTTATACGAGGGGGCATGGGCGGACGTCGGAACTACCACTGGAAACGCGATCAGCCGCCTGCCCTTGCCCCGCGGTTACCGGAAACTAGTACCTTCGAGGTACTAGTTTTTAACCATGCATCTTCGGCGGGAAGCCTCGGGTTCGCCACAGGAGCTCTACGCTTCCCAGATGTGGCGGTGAGATCATGCCCGGAAAATCCGCCTATCTTCCGTCTCTCTAGCGTGCCTAATGCTCCGTGTGACCGCAGCCTGTATTTGCCTGAAAGACATTGTCAGGACTCAAGGCTGCAACAACTTCCTGAAGTTGGGGTTTAGGGACTGCTAAATCCAGTGTAGTGTAGCAGTCGGTGTGTCAGACCACGATCTGGGACAGCAAATTCCCATTCTGCCAAGCAACCTCACCGGGTAACCTTGGACCTGTCACGCTCTCAGCCTACCTTACCTCACAGTGTTGTTGCAAGGAAAAATTAGAGGAAGGGAGAGTGTTGTAGGCTGCTTCGAGTCCCCATTGAGGTAGAAATATCCAAATAAATAAATAAATGCCCTGATGTGGACGGCTGAGGCTAGCCTGATCTCATCAGATCTAAGAAGCTAAGGTCTTGGTTAGCACTTGGATATGAAACCACCAAGGAAGCCCAGGGTTGCTACACAGAGGCAGGCAATGGCAAACCACCTCTGCTCATCTCCTGCCTTGAAAACCCTACAGGGCCAATATAAGTCTGCTCGGCTGTAATTTGATGACACTTTCTACCTAAATAAACGTCAAGATTCAGCCCTGTTCCGCCACTCTGCCCTGGCCCAAGAAGGGACTGTAGGGAGGCCAACAAGGAAGTCCCTTACCAAGAGCAGACCACAGCAGGATTAAGTGACACTCCCTAACCTCTTGCAAGGCTTCGGGGGCCGGCTGGGCAATGGCTCTTGCTGCTCCTGGCTTTCTATGGCCTGTCTTCCCCATTGCCTCTGCCAAATAATCATGCTGCAAGTTCTCAGGAACAGCCTGGATAATCATCTTGTCTTTTTCTGTATAATCAATTTAATAAAAAAAAATTCCCAGAAGACATGTCACATGACTTGCTGACATACGTGTGAGCCATCCGGTCCCTTTGGGACATGTACGCTGGACTTGACCGGGGTTGGGTAAATCTGAGCTGGCGCTCGGAGCGCCTCTTCCTTACCTCGTTGAAGACCACCATGGGCGGCTGTCCTGGTGCAGCTTTAAGGGGCCTTGTAGCACTCCTCCAGGTCTTTCCAAAAAAATGGTGGTAAGTGACATCAAACAGGGAAAGGCGCAGCTGGAATTCGACATCTGACGCATCATCTGCTCTCTGCCAATGAGAGGCAATAAATAACCAGTGAGCTCAGTTAAAATGCCTTGAGTGCCTCACGACGGGAGGGGTGGGAGAGACCAACCCCAGCGGGAGGAAAAACCTTTTCATTCATTTTAGCTCATCACGCACTGTTCATAATGAGATAATGCAATATGAATTTCAATATATGGCAGAGGGTAAGAATTTGCCATTCCCATCCTGCTTTGCCAGGGTTGTTTTGCCTCGGAACATTTGCCTTTCTGACAACACACCATGAGTTACTGCAAGAACACAGGTGCACAGACCAGTAACTGAAGGCATGTATTGAGTCTCTACTTTGCACAGGGATGCCCATTCTGTGTACAGAAAAAAATATTTTTTTCGCACCAAAGCAAACCAAAACTTCGCATCAAAAATTGTGAAGTTAGAAAGTATGAGAACTAGGAAACTAAATACTAAAAAACCATAGAATGGGACACTGGGAATAGCAATCAGCCTCCTGAGAATCCTGTGAGCTGTTATTTTAATAAGAAATGTCTAGCCCTTTGGGCTGCGAAGATATGCTTGGAAGTGTCTGAGCTGAAATTGACGAAGGCAAACCTGGGCAAAACAGTTATTCAGTGGCTATCAGGAGGTCCATTCCCTACACAGTAGCTCCTTGCCCCTCCATTATACTACTAAAACAAGATTAAATTATGCAAATACCACTAATATACGAATCTGAATAATTTACAAAAATTATACATGCCACAGATTTTAGCTTTTCTCAGTGTAGAATTTTCCTTGTTTTAACACAGAATCTGCACAAACATGGGGAGTGCAGCGAAGAGGCTGTAATTACAGTATCAAAAGTAGGGCTGGCAACTCTGGCTTCAGCTCTGGCTTCTGGGATAGGCAGTGTAGGGCAGGAAAAAAAAGGGAAGGAAAGAAAGCTCAGCGGGGATGTGGTTCCATGGAGTCTGCTATTTCTTGCAGGTGAACTGATCTCCATCGTCTGGAGATCAGCTGTAACTCCAGGAGAACTCTGGAGGTTGGCAACCCTAAATTCAAAAGGCTGTAGAAAGCATTTGAGTGGGAGGACTAAATAGAGAACAGTTATTGAATACAGGAACTGAAAGCATAACTAATTGTGCAGCAGTTTTTTTTTTTTTAAGATGGTACTTTCTCATAAATGGCAAACAATTGTGCTGTGGAAGATCTGACCACCAGAACTTGCCGCAGAATTGTGCAGCAGCTGTTTGAAACACCTCTCTGCATGCCCTTGTCGTGCAAACTTGGCACAAACTCAACACACACTCTCTTGGGCATGAACTCAACACACATACCCTTGAACCGTTCTTGCTATTCTTTGAGCATTAGGGTGGAGCTGCTTTAGTTTATTGCGCTGTTTATTGGGCTGGGTCTTTTTCCCAGTGAGGAAATGACTTCTGGCAAGCAATGCATTTATATGGGTGTTTTGTATTTTTAAAAAGCAACAAAACATTAACTGAAATGTTGCCAAACACCCATTGCTTACAGCCCCGTCATATGCCAGAGCATGACAACAAGCAAGTGGCCTGCAATCAACTTCTCCATTTGACCCACCACTCCCTTAGAACAATGCAAGTTACTCAAGCTGCCAATAAGGGAGCTACACACGGACCTTCCATGTCTTGTAAAGCCATCATGTGTTGCAGTCATTTTTTATGTATTTAGCATATTTTCATCTCGCTTTTCTCGCCAACAAGGACCCAAAGCGGCTTACAAAAAATACACCTTTAAACCAATTTACATAAACAACAGTGTACGAAAACAAACAAAAGAATTAAAGTAGACAAGACATCATAGGTGGTGTGTCCACCAGGTTAACCCAACTAGCCAAGGCTAGATGTGATCCACAGGCTATGAGCCAAGGGCCAAGAGAGGCCTCAGACTCTTGCCCTTCGGCTTGCACCCCAGGTCACACCCAGGCTGTAAATACCTGCAGCAAAAGACTGAAAAACACTCGACCTGCTGTATATATGCACACACACTGCAGGGAGGGAAAAGTGGAGAGAAAGAGGCCTCTGTTGAAATCTACAGGGATTGCTCCACTCATGCCAGGAATTCCCCATTCCTGAAAAGGAAGGTTTATACCTTCCTCTTAACTGCTAAGAGGGTTCCACATGGGGGGGAGGAAGAGGAACATGCCGCTGGTGAAAGTATTTCACGGAACTGAAGCAATAACATTAAAAGCGTTGCTCCAAGCTCCAGGACCGGCCCTGCGGTCAGCATTAAGCAGTGCACCTTTAGGCATCAGATCTTCAGGTGCTATGCAAGAACGGCAAACTGTCCATCATTCTATAATGCATTCTGACCACTGGGATGGGGGAGAGTGAGATTTAGAGCTTCTGCCTCATCTCCTGTCAATGACTGAAGGAGACACGGCCCAATGGTGAGGAATAATGCTGTGGGATAGATTGCTGAGTACGATGGATAGGCAATGGCAAAGGGCAAGCAACAACCGAGCATCAGCACCTGGGCAATGGAGGCATGAGTAGGGCTAATGATAACTAACCTAGGCCAAGAGCAGACAATCTAGAGTTGCTCCCTTGCTAGTCCGAAACCTAGAGAGGGGTGTGCCCCTGAAGAAGGCCTGGCCTCAGCTGTGGCAACACTCTGCTTCTAACATCCAGTGTGACTGGCACACCTCCTTCTGTCTCTGAGACTGTCATCGTAGTGGCAGTGCAAGATGAGGGCAATTTGTCAGTACTGGCAGAAACATCCTCAAGAGCAAGGGGTCAAGGAAGCACAGTCTTTTGAGGCTTTTCCTCTTGTCTGCAAAAGGGCTTTCTTTAATGGCTACTTCCAGAGGAGAATCTAGAGAGTTGCTCCCTTGCTAGTCTGAAACCTAGAGAGGGGTGTGTCCCTGAAGAAGGCCTGGCCTCCGCTGTGGCAACACTCTGCTTCTAACATCCAGTGTGACTGGCACACCTCCTTCTGTCTCTGAGACTGTCATCGTAGTGGCAGTGCAAGATGAGGGCAATTTGTCAGTACTGGCAGAAACATCCTCAAGAGCAAGGGGTCAAGGAAGCACAGTCTTTTGAGGCTTTTCCTCTTGTCTGCAAAAGGGCTTTCTTTAATGGCTACTTCCAGAGGAAGCCCATGGAGAGTCTTCCCTATTCTCAGGGTCCGGACAACGCAGGACTTCTTGCACATGGAGCTGAATCAGATCCTTGGTCCACCGCAGTTAGTATTGTCTACTCAGACTGGCAGCAGCTCTCCAGGAGCAATTGGGTCCTAGCCCAAAATGTCCCAGGCATCAAACTACCTTCAGTAAATACAGGATAAATTGCTGAAAAAGTTCACTAAGGTATATGCAAAATTATACAATGAAAAATATTCAAATTTCCATGATGTAATTTAATACTTGTAGGAAGCCCATGGAGAGTCTTCCCTATTCTCAGGGTCCGGACAACGCAGGACTTCTTGCACATGGAGCTGAATCAGATCCTTGGTCCACCGCAGTTAGTATTGTCTACTCAGACTGGCAATTGGGAGCAATTGGGTCCTAGCCCACAATGTCCAGGCATCAAGCTACCTTCAGTCAGCTTGGCCTATACCACCTGATGATGTCTCTCTCAAACAGGGGAACTACAGATCTTGACTGACTTGAATGGGGAGAAACGCTCTCTCAGCACAGAACATACAGCACCGTGTACTACGAATGTTAGTTTGGGCACAATGGTGAAAGCAGAGCAATGTGCAGAAGTCACTTCCTTTTTTCTGTAATAGTTGGCCAACTGTTCTATATTCTGAGGTTACTCTATTCCCCAGACACTAGTCCAGGATTCAGAAGAGTACTACCTTCTCACAGATATATTATGTTTGGGAATTCCTTAGACGTTTTACTACTGTTTGCATGGGGATTTCAGCCATGATTTCAGAGCAATTTGTCTGGATTTATTTTATGTTTGGATCTCCAATTTCTTGTAAACATTTTGAACATTTTTGTTGGTAGACAGTCAACAGCTATTATAAGAAAGTAAATGCATACGGCAATAGACAGGCAGTTGCTAGCAATAAAGGTGGCCACAGATCCAGAGGACTTGCATTTGGAGGAAAGGCAGTAATTAATGGGAGGAGAGAATATGCTGGGGGACTGAAACACATCTAAAAAGATGCACCCCAAAGAAGGATGGCAGATGGGGCCCTTTCCCCTTAAAGTAGCTGCATTTTTATAAACAGTCCCATCTTAAAAACTTGGGAGGACGTTAACAGTTCCTTCTTTTTCTACCTGTCCCCATCTGCTGCTGGTAGGGGCCATCGTAGCCACAAGTATCTGGGGCAGCTGCCCTGGGCTCCAAAAACACCCACAGCCCCACTCCCTGACCAGAGGGGGAAAGAAGAGGAAGAGCAGGCTCCTCCCACTGGACCAGCCTGTCTTTCTGGGGCTCAAGCAGCTGGCTCAACAGTGGCCACATATACCCACACACCAGCCTGATCAACAGCTGGCAAACACCAGCCTCCTAGGCAGCTGGCTCAAGGGCCTACCCTTGCTTGGGCCTGTGGTGGCCTGGGGTACAGCAGGAGGCCAGTGGGGGATGCGCGGGGGGTATTGATTCTGGGGTAGGGCTGCCAAATGTGGGTGGGGGGCGGGGAATCCCCCGCTTTGATGCAAATAAGTTATGTTAATGAGCTCCTGCACCTCTTTTTTTAAGAAAATGACCCCCGGCCACAAGTATCTGGGGCAGCTGCCCTGGGCTCCAAAAACACCCACAGCCCCACTCCCTGACCAGAGGGGGAAAGAAGAGGAAGAGCAGGCTCCTCCCACTGGACCAGCCTGTCTTTCTGGCATTCAAGCAGCTGGCTCAACAGTGGCCACATATACCTACACACCAGCCTGATCAACAGCTGGCAAACACCAGCCTCCTAGGCAGCTGGCTCAAGGGCCTACCCTTGCTTGGGCCTGTGGTGGCCTGGGGTACAACAGGAGGCCAGTGGGGGACAGGGGGGTGTATTGCTTCTGAGGCCTCATCCTGCTCCTATGCCAGGGCCCCAGAAGCACTAAGACTGCCCCTGGTTCCTGGCCATCAAAAGCCAGTTTGGAAAAAAAGGCACCTTACTCAGCTTCCCTGGAAGAAGTACCTTCTCTGGCTTTGGAAACCTTCCAGAAGCAATGTAGGGGCAGCCCCGAAAAACATTACTCTATATACCCTTGCAGACCTGATTTGATGCAAAGATCTGTGCACCAAAGTGTGTTCTCGGCTGATTTTTAAAGTTGTGGTGGGATATATGGCTCTCCAAGGCCATTTGGGGCTTTGTGGGTTAGCGGCAGCATCTTGACTAGAGCCCAGAAGGCCACAGGGAGTCGGTGCAGGTGCCAGAGCACTGGTGTAACAGGCTCCCAATGCCCCACCACCATCATACCACAGTGCTTTTCATAGGAATACTACAAAATGCTTATTAATTAAAAACTACAGAGACACTGATTGCTTTTTTGTCTTACAAAAGAAACACTTGTGTGTTTGATTTGAAATTTGGTAGGACAACTGAAGGCCAGACAAAGATGCTAGGGGGACTGGTAGACCCCGCAAGCCACCAGTCGGCCATCCCTGATTGCAAAGACGGCCTCTGAGCTTCCAGCAGCCCCTCCTTTCCAATACCTTCATCGAGCCCCGAATTAGAGCAGAGAGGCATTACCAAGCATGCTATTAAAGATTTAGTCGCTCTGCATTATTTAGCGGCACAGTGCTTTAACCCGCTGAACGGTTCAGCCTTGAGAGTCACAGGGCAACCTTCTCATGTCTCCATTTGCAGGGTGGAAGGGAAACAAACAAGCAAGCAAGCAAACAAACAAAACTCAACCCCCTGATATATATATCCCTAAACCCTGCTCTCAGGATGGCCTGCAAAGGGAGGGAACTGATGGGAAATTATTGGAATTGTTCTGCCCACTGAAGCATTTGAAAGAAATCTGCTATAGCAGATTGGCCTTCTCATGGGTGGTGCTGGCTGGGGTTTGCCAACTCCCAGGTGGGGCCTGGAGATCTCCTGGAATTACAACTGACCTCCAGATCAGAGAGATCAGTTCCCCTGGAGAAAATGGCTGCCTTGGAGGATGGCCTCTATGGCATTATACTCTGTTGAGATCCCACCCCTCCCAAAACCTATCCCTCCCCAGGATCCACTCCCAAATCTCCAGGAATTTACCAACCTGGAGTTGGCAAACCTAGTGCTAGCTGACCTATTAAGCAGGGCCAAGGCAGCAGCACCATGTCTGCCTTTTTGGGAAAAGACTGGCAGAAAGAAGTGAAAGAGAAAGAATAGGATAGATAGACTATAGACGGATAGATATATAGATGTAAAAGTAATATATTGAATAACACACTAACAGTGCTGCCAACCTAAGCAGACTTAAACTTTTCTGTGCTCGTCGATTTCAAGGATGTGACTTGCTCAGGATGGAGCTGTAAGAGCTGACCCTTGGTGGGTTGTGGAAGGAGCCATGCAGGGTAATGACCCCCAACCATTTGAAATTTCACACATCCTCCTGCTCCCCCAGGTCACTGAGATTTCATTAAGCTTCGTCCACCTCTTGCTACACTCACCTCTGCAGCTACAGCAGTTAGAGGTTTGCTCGATTCTGCTCCAGATACTAAATCCTGCACTTGCCTAGGATGCACACGGCCTGGCCCACAGAGCGCTGAATGCCTTGAGCCATGCAGGCCACAGAGACTGCCTTCCATGGACAGCAGTCTTTTAGTGCGGTTTCAAGCATCTTATTAAGCATTCCAATTGTATGCCAAGTCCAAACAACAAGGGGAGGCAGAAAGGCTTTTCTCGCTGACTGCTCCTCAGAGACAAGTCATCTGGGAGACTGAAGAAACCCCAAGCCCAAACATTTTCTGGAAACTAGATGGTGCAAGGGAGACATTAGGTTCCCACCCCTCTGTTTTCCCTGGATGGGGCATATGCAAGGGTGGATTAGCAGGAGGCAGGGACACAACTCTCCCCGTTTCAGATTCTGCTTTGCAAATGTACCTTCTCCCCCTCGGCAGTTTTTGATTCCCCCCCCTTCCAGCTGGGAACCAGAACTGGACACGAGCCCAATGTAGAGCTGCCAACTCTGGTTGGGAAATTCCTGGAGATTAGGGGGGTGGAGACTGGAGAGGGCATAGCTTGGGGAGGGGAGAGCTCAGTGGGGTATAGCCCCACAGAGCCCGTCCCCTAAAGCAGCCATTTTCTCCAGGCAAATTGACTATCTGTCAAACTTGGGATCAGTTGTAATGCTGGAAGATCTCCAGGCTCACCTGGGGATTGACAACCATAGCCCAGCAAAAGGAAACTGGGCCAGTGGAGGATATATTTGGAGGCAAGAATTGGTGGCCACTGGGGAGATTAAGCATTCTTCCTTCCCATTCACTGGATTTTCCCCTGCAAATCCCTGCCTCCCCCACCCCCATTTCGATGATATCACACAGGTGGCTGGAACCTCACATTTCTGGTAACTATCTACTTGTGGCCTGAAAGACCTTATTCTCTTAATGCACTTAGAAAGCCCAGGGCCCTTTTAATTCCATCTAGTAAGCTGATATATTTCATTTAAACCACACCTTTCTTCCCAATGGGGACCCCAAAGCGACTTCCATCGTTCTCTTCTCCTCCACTTCATCCTCACAACAACCCTCTGAGGTAGGTTAGGTTGAGAGTGTGTTATTACTGACCCAATGTCAACCACAAGCTTTCGTGGCAGCCTGGTGTCTTAGTGCATTGGCTGTTTCACTCTGGATGTAAGGGATGTTATCGAGCCTAAGCCTTTAGGTTGGAAAATGTGTTTGAAATCTCGACTAAACAAGCACGTATTCTGTTAAATGCAGTCACTTCAATGTGTCGGGGTCAAATTAGAGCCGTGGGTAGCTGGATGAGGAGTGTGTGTTGTCTAACCCAGAGCTGCTCATGCCAGTTGCTGAACCCTGAGACTGAACGCTGGAGTGACTGCAAGGATTTACAGAGAAGCCAGAATTGTGAAAGGTTACAGCTCTGTTGACCAGGGCGGGGACCATGGCTCAGTGGCAGAGCATCTGCTTTGCATGCAGAAGGTCCCAGGTTCAATCCCCTGCATCTCCAGTTAAAAGGATCAGGTAACAGGTGATATGAAAACCTCCACCTGAGACCCTGGAGAGCCCCAACAAGTCAGAGTAAACAATACTGACTTTGGCAGACCAAAGGGCTGTCAGGGTAACAGCATTCGTGTGTGTGTGTTCAATGTTTGTGACAGAAGGCCACGTTCCCGGTAGTCACACCAGACCCAGCCAACACAGAGGTGTCTCACTGCAGAGATCACAGATGCATACCCTTAAGCTTTACATACCAGAAGACTCTGAGGCTAAGCAGAAACGGTCACTATGAGGCTTCTTCTTTAACCTCTGACATCAGCTCATCCCCATCCTGATTGTCCTTACAAGCCAGCCAACACAGAGGTGTCTCACTGCAGGGATCACAGATGCATACCCTTAAGCTTTATACACCAGAAGACTCTGAGGCTAAGCAGAAACAGTCACTATGAGGCTTCTCCTTTAACCTCTGACATCAGCTCATCCCCATCCTGACTGTCCTTACAAGAACACCTTTCCAACAATAGAGACAGCCACTTGTTGCAAGGACTCCACACTAGACCAAGCCTCTATAGGATGGAGAATGTACATTGCTTGTTGCTCTTTTTGTAGAAAAAGCCCAGCAGGAACTCATTAGCATAATAGGCCACACCCAACAGTAGAAACTCATTAGCATATTAGGCCACACCCCTGACAGCACAGCTCATTAGCACATTAGGCCACACTCCTAATGAGTTTCTGCTGTTGGGTGTGGCCTATTATGCTAATGAGTTCCTGCTGTGCGTGGCCAACTTGGGAGCCAGCCGGAACTCCGTTCCTGTGCGTTCCTGCCCAAAAATAGCCCTGGCTTGTTGTTTCCTTCTTGAAAGAGACGATGCCTGAGACATTAATATAAACTACATTGCATTGCTGTCTCCTCCTGATTTTAGCCCAATGAATGCCCCTGAATGGGTATCTTTGGGGAGGGGGGAACAGGGGGAGATGCTGGAAAATCCCCTTACCTGTTTCATTATGTTTCCCTCCACCTGCTTCAGGACGCACTGGAATGCCTTTGATTCCCCTGGTGGTGGGTGGCGACGCCTCTGGTTATGTGGAGGGACCGTCAGGTTTCCCACAAAGCTCCTCTGCCACTCCCCCATTTTGCTTGCCCAAACCGTTGCCGCTGTTTCACTTCAGCCACAGGGAAGTGTGCCTTTGAAAATTAAAAGGACAGATGATGTGAGGAACATTTAAAACATTTGGGGCTTTTTAGGTTAAGGCCCCCTGATCTCATTTGTGACATGGATGCTGCTGCAGCACTACGCCTTCTCTCAACATGAAGGCAGATTTATAAATTGGTTGACAAAAGTTAATAACCCACGGAAATGTCCACTAACTTCTTGTCCACAAATACTTCCTTGGCACCTCAGCAAAAAGAGAACTTTCCCATTTTTGAAACTCTGGCCCCGGTCACACGGGAGGTTTAGCCCCGCAAGAGGGATGGATCGGGGGCGCAGCAAACGGGTGCGATCGCACCGCAACATCTGGGAAGCAGCGCACACCCGTCCCCGATCCGTCCCTTCAGGCCGATAACGTGCAGCAAAAAAGAACCTACAAAAGAGCCTGAAACGCCGCAGCAAGCGCGGCCGTGGGATCGCCGGTGCACCCGTCTTCAGAAGCATTCGAGGCTCCCGGGAGAACTGCGCATGCGCACACATGTACAGCCGGCTACCCCCCTCCCGCGCGCCCCCCCCCCCCCCCGGCATCAGATTGTGCCGGGAAGCAACTGTGCGGCGGCTCAGGGGATCTGTCTGATCCCGCCACCGCGTGTCTCTTTTGGTGCGGCTCTAAAAAGCCGCACTTTGGCCACATCATTTTCCCCCATGTGACTGGTGCCTCTCATTTCCTAATCACCTGAAGGCCATTCTTTTTTTTGGGGGGGGAGGGTTGTTTGGGGTTTTTTGTATTTTTCATATGTGCATGTGTACCTGGAAGTCATGGCGACCTCTGGTGACTGGCCCCTACTGGAGGCCAAGAGGATAGTCAGAGAGGTGACTGAATAAAATCTGCCCCCACCTACCACCTCTGGTATTTCAAGGAAGTCTCCCATCCAAGTAACTTGCCAGAGTTGACCCTGCTTAGCTTCCAAGATCTGATGAAATCGGGCTTGCCTGGGCTATCCAGGTTAGGGCACCTGAAGGCCACCACAGGCAAGCAGTTCTTTACAGATGTATACGAAGGTAATGCCACAGACACTGGGTCATATAGGAGGATTATACAGTATGGCACCTTTGCATGCCAATCTCCCCCCCCCCCCCGTGTCCGGGAGGGGTGCCCCAGCATAAAGAGGAGCCAGAGTGGGCTCCTCCCACAAAGTCCAGCGCCTTTAATGCAATACCTGTAGTACGGGAAAGGGTTGCACCACAGTGCCTTCCACACCAAAAACATAACCTGAACATAACCTGGAGTCTAGAAGATTGTAGTAGCTGAGACCGCAGATGTGTATGTCCGTGCAGGCACATTATTTTAGAATGCCTGAATTCTGCATAATACATAGAATTGTTCTAAGAGAAAACCACAGCCCCTCCCCCAAACAAAAGCCTGAGGAAAACACAGACTTGCTATGCAAATGCAGGCCCATGGCATTAAGCTACTTTCAAGGCTTTTACTCAGGAGAAACCTCCCCCGCACCGACTCGCTTTTACTCAGGAGAAACCTCCCCCGCACCAACTCCCTCCCAGCAGAGAAGGTTGGTTATGAGTCACATCCAAGTCAGCACTGCTGGAAAGCTAAGGCAGAAGAGGTCATTCAGCAGTAGGTGGGAAATGTCAAAAACCCAAATTCTGCCAGCAGGATTGTTTGGCCTCATCAAGTTGTACCAGAAATCTGTAGCCAGAAATGAGGATGGCTCTTTCAAAGGCAGGTGTGGCCAGCAGCCTCTACAGCTCCCAGGGATGATCACCTCTCCTCCTGGTTTTCCTTTTCTCTCCCGACCTCCTGCATCGGGCCCTCTCCAGCTTGCCCAGAGCCCTGCTGACTTGGCCCACCTGACTTAGCCTGACCCTTTTGCCAGGAGTCAGACCAAGGCAGCAAGACTTTCAGCTGCCCTGCTCAGTTACATTAGAGTCTAAATTAGAGTCTAAATTAGAGTCTAAATATTAAATGTGTGCTCTAATCTGCCTATTGAGGAATATTTTTTCTAATACTTCCCAATGGACATGCATACCTGTCTGATTCAGCTAGGTAATACCAAGTTCACCATAGAACTTGAGCATCTATGAGGGATTGAAGAAGAATAGAGAAGATGGCCATTCCTGGACTGGCCCGAGTGTGGTCTGAGAGCCAGGGGAGGGCCAGGATGGATTCCAGTGAACAAAACTAGGCCTCGATCTTCCTGAGCAACTCTTCCATAGCACCTCCACCAACACTGCCCCGTTACCCTCCAGTTACTACGCCTTCTCCTTTCAGCTTGCCCTCCCTTGCAAATTCTTCAGCCTTAGAGATGGCGTACGTTATTCAGAATCAGTTTTGAAACGTGCTTGCTTTGTAGAATTTATTTTTAAAAACAGGATGTGGGCTTCCTTGGCACCCACAAGGGTTGGTTTTCAAACGGTGTTGCAGGAAATCCTGGGGCGGTTTATCAGGGGTTCATGAAATTCAAAATCATGACTGGCAGTCAAACGTCACTGAAAGGCAGGTCCAGCATTAATGATCCTACCCTGTAAGGTTCAGGCCCCGCACCTCCCTGGCAGGGTGTTTGAAAAGTTCTCAATCACAGTCTCCATTCATTGGAGGCAACAGTGTAGCCTGGCCAGCATCCTGCATCATGACTTCAGTGCATGGTTAGAACATGTCCCAGAATCCTTTGCCAATGCGCTGGGGTTCCATTGCAGGCATCCAGTGGCTCCTTGGCAGATAAGTCAGGGGGGGGGGGGTGTTTCCTTGAGGAGTAATGTTTTGAAAAAGCAATGCATTACCGCATCATCCAGCCTACAGAGTGGGGCCGCCTTGCTTCCTCCATGATCTATACACTGAAACTGCAAAACAGAAGAAAGAAGAGCAGTTTCAAGGCCTTTGGAAGTCTGTGCAACATCAAAGGCAATGGAATCTTCTCAGAAGGCTGGGAGCCCAACCCACCTAAGCTGCCCTGCTAACACATTTTGGATATATGGGCAAATGCTTCCTTGAATGCATGATACGGCATAAAATGCAATACATTTGGTAACTGACAAACTGAGAGCCAGCTGGTGTAGTGGTAAAGAGCTGCAGGCTGTAATCTGGAGAACCGGGTTTGATTCCCCACTCCTCCACACGCAGCCAGCTGGGTGACCTTGGCTCAGTCACAGCTCTCTCAGAATTATCTCAGCCCCACCTGCCTCACAGGGTGTTTGGTGTGGGGAGAGGAAGGGAAGGCGATTCTAAGCCGCTCTGAGGCTGTGATCACACACACTAAGTAATCCCCTTTCAATGTACTTTCCAACTGTATTTTACGGTGTGAACTGAACTGGCAAAATCCAATGCAAAAGTGGATTATTTAGTGGGTGTGATTGCAGCCTGAGACTCCTTCAGGTAGTGAAGAGCAGGGTATAAAACCAACTCTTCTTCTTCTTCTTCTTCTATAGCTCAAAATCAGTAATGGACGTATCTCCATAGTTTAACACCATGACAATGTGTCAACTGTCAGTTGTTTTTTAAAAGCCCTCTAGCCATGGAGGGCTAGAGGCCAGAAAAGTGCAGGGGAAACGACTGAAGTGGCTGCTGTATGTGTTAGCAGCGGCAACAGAAGGAACACAAAAATGGTCACCGTGTGGATGCAGCCTAAGGCCCCGGTCACACGGGAGGTTTAGGCCCGGAAGAGGGACGGATCGGGGGCGCAGCAAACAGGCGCGATCAACACACCACAACTGG